TTCAAATATCTACAAAATAAATATCTGATTCGACTATCTTTTTGGATACAAAAATTAACTGACATGTTCTGTGCATCTTTAATCCCAACCCACTATTATGGGTTAACCGGGTTTCGGGATTGCCTACACGAAAATAGAAATCGGATCTTCCATCAATTTTGAGCTTCCAAACTTTCATTTGTTACATTTTTTATTTGTGGAACAGCTCAAATCTACATATCTTAATAAAAGACTCTTTTTTCTTCACATGTCTCTTCCGGATTCATTTTAAGCCAAAAATGGATTTTACCAAAATACCACGCATTTAATATGTATAAGTCATTCCTTAATTAAATACTTTCGAAAAAACAATTTTTAAAAAATTAGAAAGTATATACAGTTATATGTAACTAGTTGTCAGACTCATATATTATATGGGTTAATTTTTTTAAAAGAAATATTAAATATAAAGGTAAAATTATTTGATAACTTTGAATTTATAAGAAAATAAGAAAAATAATGATTTGTTATACTAGAAAGTTTTTTATCTTTTAAATTTAAACAAATAATTTAAATAAATAAAATAAACTAATAAGCTTTAATTTTGAGATTTTAAAATTAAAAGGTAAGTTTATTAGTGAATTTTAATATCCATTTATTACTATATTTATTGCAATTATTACATTAAAATATTATGTGGAAATTAATAAAATAGAAAAACTCATAAAATGACATTGGAAAAAAAAATTAATTCAAAATAACCACAAAAAGATATTTGGCAAATTGAATGAAAGTATGACTAATGGCAAGAAAATATTTATATATTAGAGAGGATTAACAGTTTTTAATATGTTTTTAATGGTAATAATATACCAAATCTCAAAATAACAGGAACTGTATTCAAAACGTTTTCATCATCTTTTTGCTACTTTGTGAAGCATTTAACGAATCTAGCACACACAAAAACAAGAAACACGAAAGAACATAATCAAGGTTAGTTTTTATGGTTCGTCTTTACTATTCCATGTTTATTTGGTATATCAAATGGTTATACATGTTTCTTTAGTTTCATATTTCCTGCAAAATTTCTATACCCCTACTTCTATTCACAATATTAACTTCATTTACTTTCCTTTGGCCGCCTTTCTCATCTTTCTTGGATGTCGATTTCTTGATCTTCATCATTACAACAAAGTATCTTTCGACTATTTTTTTTTTTATAATACATGATCTCTTCACAACAGGTATCTTTGGATAAGATTACATTACGTAATTTAGTTTCTTGGTGGGTTGAAGCTGATTGTTGGTGGATTTGTCAAAGACATGGTATTAGATAAACTTATTACATAAATTGAAATTGTTTTTTTAATGATAATCTGGTTATATTTTAGATGAATTAAACGATGTATATTATCTAACCCTTTGTGTACATGGTTGTTTTTGAAGGATTATCGGCTGATCTCAAATGAGTTACAGTGATGCCATACAACATGCGTACAACAAATAGTCCATCCATATCCTCACATATCGATTTCCCAAAATGATTTAATTCCAAATTAAAAAATCGATGGATGGATTTTCTAGGAGTAGAAATCCTACAAAAGCGGATTGTTTTCTCTCTTAAAGACTCTTTAACCAATCAAAAGCGCCAAGCATCTCAAGTCAATCCACATCCTCCTCCAAAAACTTTGTTAGCATTGCCTACAAAATATAAGGTTGCCACGTGTTTTGGTGTTTTGCATGTTACTTTAATTTTTTTTCTAAAAAAATGATTTGGCATACCTGGTGGTATTACAGTTTAAGTTTATTCCTATTTAATTTTCGATTTTGACATTCAACATTTTATCGGACATCAACCTTATACATTGTATGAAATATCCATTTCTTTGTAGTATAGAATCCTAATTCTATCTTTATTATCTTATTGTACTTTTTAATTGCTTTGTTTTATTAAGGCAATGTAGTATCTGATTGTACTTTCAATCTGTCATTTTAAAAATTAGCCCAAAAGCAACCATATTTTCAAATAAATATATATTAATTTTAAACATCAATACAAAAGTTATAAAAAAAATAAAAAATAAACCTTTAATCTTATTGATTTAATAAAAATAAATTTTTAATAATATTTTACCCGTATTTCTGTATTTCTTACGAATTGTAACCTAGTTGACAATAATTTCAAATCAACTAGCTTAAAAATGGGAGATTATTCTCTACGAAAACAAAACCCACCACTTATGGCTTTTCATACAAATATGGTTTATGGCTTTATGCTTCAGACCAGATTGATCCGAACCAATAACCTTAACAGGTCAAGATTTTAAACACTGGTTGGGCTTTTTTGGGCTTTACCTATCGACTCAAATCCATAGTGTCAGCCCCGGGGCCGATTACTTGACCTATCAGCATACGACTCTCAACATATATCTAGCAAAGAGAACAACCATTAATTTTAGGGTTAAATAAAATTATAAAATGTTGATGCAGGGGCATGGAATTATTATTATTATTATTATTGTTATTATTATTATTAGATTAGTTACATTTAACAAGGAGATATTTTGATAATCGCCAAAACATATTTCTGACATGTTTTGTGTTCCACCAATTTCATGATATCTTATAAGTCACATTCAGCAAAATTTCAAGCATTCAAAGAAATAACATTAAATATTAAGAAATTGAAACCCACAACCGTTCACATGCTTGGATTATAACTTTACTGTTAGGATTGGTTACATATGCGGATAGCTAGTGATTAGAGGCAACAGAATGGTGAGAGGGTAATTTGGAACAAGAGAAAAGTTGGGAAATTTTGTCAAATAACTAACCAGAGAAATTAAATTGCCTCCTACTTTTTATTCCTACATTTATTCCTACCCATTAAAATTATGACAAATCACCATTCAATTTAATTGTATTTGATATATTACTAATATACTTTTAATGATTTAGTTAAAAAAATATGAAAAAATGATATTTGTCATAATTTTATTGGATAGGATCATTTGTAGGCATAGGAATCAATTTAATTTCTCAACCAAAAAAGGAGGTGGGGTTGAAAAATATGACCGAGAAAAACGGAATTTTTGGTTATTTGACAAATTTTTCAGAAAAGTTTCATGTATGCTAACAGCAAACTAATGGCGTGTTTTTAGGGATTGTAAAAAAGGATTAATAATAATAATAATAATAATAATAATAATAATAATAATAGTAATAAACCATGTGAACATCTAGGCATCGACATACCACTTTATGTCCATGTCATCCATTTTCTTCACTATCATGATAAGTTGATAACATGCAATCCTAATAAAATGTCATTTTTCAAATGTCAAAACTTATGGAGTGGTTTTTTTTATAATAAGATTTAACATAATAAAGTGACCAATTTCATATAACTTAAATGGTTTTCTCAATTTAACACTTTTGATGATGAGTAAGACCTGTTACTGTAGATAAAATATGATTTGGGTCATTGATTGAGAAAAGTTTTCAATAGTTGAGAAGCATTATGTATCACTATTAAGGTGGCTTAGTTGTAATCACTATTAAGGTGGCTTAACTTGGGATTTGAATATTCATTGTGGCATGCCATTCAAATACTTTTTTTTTTTTTTTTGCAGAAGTTTTATGTAGATATGATCTATATAACTTTGCCTCAAATGTCAGGTAATGTTTAGAGCTGCTAACACATTATATTGTACGGACAATATACAAACTATATGTTAGCATTTTGGTTTAAATACTATAATTCAAAATATTCACAATTGTAAGATTTGTTTAGTAGTGTTGGGTTAATATCATAGAATGACAATCAATAATATCCAATTTGCTCTTTAAGTCACTTATCTTTTAATTGTTATAATGAATACCTTAATTTTTATGTTTGTTCTCAATGCACCATTGTGATAGATTTCAAGTGGCTAATCTATTATTAAATCCTCTAAAATGGCATTCAATGTGACAATTTGTTTATACAGATCAACTTGGCGCTGATATTGCATCCACCTGTAACATCCAATTAGGTAATAATTGGCCGTTCAAATGCATTTCAATGGTGTAAAAAGGATAAGAAAATTTTTTATTGACATATAAATATAATTAAACAATAAGTGATCTAAAGAGCAAAGTGTGTGTTATTGGTTGTCATTTTATGACACTAACCCTTCATATTAAAATACATCTTTTTGATCTTTTATAAATTGTAAGGTAAATTCACATCTAATCGTCTATTAATCTTGATAACTTTAACTTATTAGTAACATATTCTTTTTGTAACTTTAACCACAAAAACCATATGAGAAGTTTAAAAACTACATACATAAAATGAAAATAAAGTCAAATATTACACCATAAAAATAAAATGTAAAAGTATCAATCTAACAGACTCGTTCGTTTCATTCAAAGTGGTGAAATTTAACCAAAATCAAATTAAGTAGCAGCATTCTTATTCGACTTGAACATAATCAAATTACCCGAAAAAAAAAAAATGAGGATCAACCGAACAATAGATGTCAAAGTGGTCGATATAAAAAATACGAACATAAAAACCATTATATTTTGATCATTTTTTACGTTTACTGTGAATCTAAAGTCTAAACTACTCAATTTTGATAATCAGTTTAACCTGCTGGTAAACTTGGGTTTTAACTTTTATATTGCCCTACTGTAAACGTTGGTAAAAAAAAAGGTTGTTGACGTCAGCATGGCTTCATTGCATACATCATCATTGAAGTTTTTCATTTTCCTTGGTGGACGCGTTTTACTATAAACCCAAATTTGACTCATTTATTATGCAATTGGTGTATTTGATTGGAAATTGGCAAGAGATAGAGTCGTGTAAAACATACAAAAAGGCAACTTCTATGAAGGTGTACTTAATTTCTTCAATTATTTACACAAAAACCACCATTATTGAAAATTTGTATAATTATAATTTGATATATATATATATATATATATATATATATATATATATATATATATATATATATATATATATATATATAAAAGGACAAAATAACTTTATGTCAAGTACATTAAAAATGTTAGGAGGCTGAACACAAAAGATAATGCTTTTACAGAAGTTGAAGTTCTTTTGTTCTCCTAATGATATAATAACAACTCAAAGAATAGACGATAAACAAAATGGCTATTCTATTTACACCAACGATATTAATAAACAAAAAATTGTAGGCTATTGCTAATCTACTAATACCTAACTGTATCTGTTTTAATAACATAAACAAACTACATCCACTTACAAAATTGAGGCCTTTTAAAAAAAAAGCCAAATTTAGCTTTCAATCAAAAAACCAAGTCACGTGCCAAAAGGCATCATCATAAATGTTGCGTACAAAAACCACTCTTCAATCTTTGATTCCGTCTTTTCACTTCGGTTGGAATGTTGGTTTCCAATCTTCAATTAGACGGAATGTTGGACCACTGCAGTAGAAACCTATCCAAATCAAAGATAAATTAAATAATTTAGGAAAAAAAAAATGGTTGTCATAAATGCTTCAAAATTTATGTATAGACAAAATTGTCCATAGCAATAAGTTTTAGCATGTGAAATCAAACCTAACTCTAGTTTTGTACATGTATGAATGCTAACTACAATTTCACTTTCATTGTTTTCTTATCAAGGCATTTTACTTTAAAAACTCAACCCAATTATAGCAAAAAATAGTTTCAAATTTGTCTTTTAACATTATTACTTTGAAAAATCTATCCAATTATAGCAATGAAAATTGATTTTTCATTGCTATAACTGGATAAAATTTTCAATAACAAATAAACGAATGTACATTGTTATTTCTTGCATATAACCTATAATAAGATCATGCACCTGATTCAAGACAAGTTGTGTGTCTTGACTGAATCACTTCAGACATCCGATTCACTCAGATTCAACCAGATGAACCCGAGCTCTTTCCGTTTTTCAGTTTAACTTCCTTTCTTTTTTCCATCATTTGTCTACAAAACTTTCTCTTGTTCACGAGAATTCTTATCTTCTTCAATACGTTGCAACAACTCCTCACAAGCTTTCAAAGAAGCAGCTGTAAATCTCTCCATAGCCTCAAAAACAAGTCTCAAATTCGTTTGAGCACCAACACTTTTACTAGTCTCACTCTGATAAACAGCTGAAATCCCATTATCATCTCCAGAACTACCAACAACAATTCTTTTATCAAGAACCTGCAACTCCTTATGAATCTTCACATCCTCCCTCTCCAAATCCTTAACTTTCCTCTCCATATTCTTATGCATCACAAGTCTCCTTCTCATTTCCTGCTTATCCCTTTCCCATAACTGAAGCACAATCCTAACAAAATCCCTCATGGATTCCACTACTTCCTTATCAGAAATCCTTTCCATTGCTTGTGCCCATTGGTTGCATATTATGAACACAGTTGGAGCTCCGATTCTTGAAGGGGAAAATGGAACAGGTCCATCTGCTGTTTCTTCAGGGATGTAGAGAAGACATTTTAGAAGCCAGTTGTTTAATGATGTCACAAATCCCTTTTGTGCTCCAAACCAACAAGAGAATCTAAGAGTCCAGTTTAAAAGTTCATGTTCAAGTTGTAATGTGGCTTCAAGACTATCATCACTGAAATGTTTGTGAGATGCAATCGCGTCTAGTCTTTTAGCAGCTCCAATGGCTCGAGTTTGACTATGGTGACACTCCAGCATTGACCTCCACATTCTTGTTAAACTAAAAACAGAGATTCATTAATCATAAATCAGATAAAAAAAAACGGAATTTTTAGTGTATTATTTATTACATACCCTTGAATGAAGTCATTTAGCTGTGGCCATAACTCATCGTCTCTTAATCGGTTTATTTGCTCAGAGATCTTATCGACTACTTGAATTGCAATTCTGATTTTGGTTGAAAGACTTCTGACTAAAGTTCTTGTAGCATCAACTTTGTGTGGTTCTGCACCTTTTTCATCTAAACGTTTTAGTCTTCTGTTTTTTTCTTCATGGAGTAATCTCATTTTCTCTTCGATCTACATCATAATATATCATGAAAAGATTCAAGATTCAAGATTTAAGAACAGCATCCATGGAAGATTGATGATAAAAATGATACACATACCTTAACTTCCTCGAACAATTTCTTTTCCCAGAGATAGAGCTTATGTAAGGTGGATGAAAGATGTTGAGACTTTGTTCTTAAATCTATACCAGCATCTAAGTTGGAAGGATCGGTGGTTTCTGCAGATGTGTATTTAGAAGCTGCGATTGCTAATGATGGTGAAAAGACGTTCAACATCTTTGAGGGAACTTGATAGGCGGCGTGTTTTCTGTTGTGTGGAACTTTTCCGACCTCAAGCATCTTTGCTAGCTCATTGCCGGATTCTGAAGCTCGATCAAACTGGACTTGAATTTCTCTCACCACTTCTGAATCGTTTTGAAAGTCAGCAAGAGGTTTTTCCGATCTAGATGTTTCTTCTTTATCAACCACATGAACTTCAAATTCCACTGGTTCGTCTTCTACGACAGTTGGGCCACTTCTGTAATGCAACTCACCACCGGAACTTTTCTCACTCTCTTCATCAACGACAGCCGCCTTCTTTGAATCACCTTTACCCCCACTTCCACCGCCACCACCACCGCCTCCACTATCAACGAACTTTGGGATTGAAGAATGTATTTCCTTGACGACTTCTTCCTGGAAGTAATCTTCGTCTTCCAAATCAGGAATACCCTCTTCTTCTCTCACCTCTCTTGAATCGCGACTTGGTGTATAAGGAGGATAATAGCTCTCGAAGGTATCGAATGGATTTAAGAAGTCCCACGAGGAGCTTGGTGGCGGGGGAGGGGGAGGAGGGGGAGAAGGTTTTGAATTAGAAGATGATGCCTCAGCCTGTAAAACCGGCGGAGGCGATGAGACGCCACCATATGGAGGTTGTCGAGAAGAAGAACCGAAAAACTCACCGTAGTTAGAGTAATTGTTGTTATATGATGAAGAATTAGGGTTTTGATAATTATAATTGTTGTTATAATAGGAGGATGAGGAAGAAGCTTCACCGTAATGTATAGTCTCCGGACTCATTGGCCGTTGCTGGTACACTACAGACGGAGTCGGTTGCTTTCTCATAAAATTCATCGTGTAACGACCAGGCGCATAACCTTCCGGAGCATAACCCGCCGGTGGATAATCTGGCGGGGTATAACCGGCCGGTGGGTAGCCTGATGGAGGATAGCCGGCAGGGGGGATAACCTGACTGTGGGTAACCGGCAGGGGGGTAGTTTGATGGAGGAAAACCTGACGGAAGATAACCGGAAGGAGGATAACCAGAAGGGGGATAAAAGGGGGGAGGATAAGAAGAACTTGCTGAATCATTCTGATCATTATATGTTAAATTTTCGTACGGCCGATGTCGATGTTGATGCAACGGAGAACCCCCATTTACTGAGTGTAAATGAATGGAACCGTCATCGTCCTCGGAATCTTCATCGGAATCAGAGTGAAAGTGAAGGTGAGATGAGCCAGAATTTTGAATGCGAATGATCATGATGCTGATGATGATGAACAGGCGCAGTAACGGGCGGCTTGGAAGACTCTCCCTTCCTTTGAGGAGGAAGGTTAAGCACCGGAGACGGAGGAGTATCACCACCGTGACCGTGCACGGCGGCGGAGGAGTGGATATCAAAGAAACGATGGAGCGAAACACCGACGTTCTTGAGAGAGTGACAATAAGCTAAATGAGCTTCCGCAAGAGCGTAGCGTTGGTGGATCGCTTCGTCGAGGAAGGTGCATCTCTGCCTGCAGAGCGCCACCGCCGGTGACTCCTCGGGCTTGGAACCCACACAGCCCATACACTGTTTGTTGATAAAAATCCAATCTTTTACGAAATTGGATTGAAAAAAAAGGACAGGAATTGAGTGATTTTCAGAGGGGGTAGATTGGAATTAGGAGGGGGATTGGATTGAAATTTTAGGGATTCGAAGAGAAAGGGGAAAAGGGGGCCGGTGGAGGAATCTTTGACAGCGGGGAATATCTCGTCGGTTTGTAGAAGTAGCGGACAGAGAGAGAGAATGCATCGTCGGTGTGTAGTGTGTGAGAGAGAAAGGAGTGTGAGTGTACTTTTAGTTTTAGAGAGTGAAAGTGCGTGTGTATGTCGAAGCAGGTAGTACAGGTATGTGCGCATCTATGGCCCTTGTATTTTTCCCTATTCACTACTTTGCCTACTTAATTTTATTTCCGTTACAATAACGGTGGAATTACCAATATGTTTCTCAATTGATTTGAGAAATTTTCTATTACCAATTTTAAGAAGCGCCCAAGTTAAACGGATATTGAGTCGTTTTTTTAATAATAAAATTAATCTTTAGGATGGACTTTTGATTTTACTACAATCCACGCAAATAAGAGAATATGATAACTACATATGTCTTTGACACATAAGTTGGGGCTTTATAAAGCTTAGGCTAGACTTTTAAGCACTTATGAATAGATATGATATAACATATGAGCTTTAATTGTAACAACCTACAAGAAATTTGACTTTGGGTGGATAACTTACCAAAAATGTAATTTGGTCATATCGATATGGGCACATAAGTGCTCGTTATGGTAGACGTGGACCAATGGCGGATTTTAGTGGGGCATTTGGGGTCCCGGACAACTACTCAATTTCCGACACTCGGTGTAATTTTTTTTTTTTTTTAGTTTTTTTTATTAGGTGCACCCGTTTGGAGTACGAGAGACACCCCTACTAAAATAGTTTGCGTCTGCGTCCGCCACTGACGTAGATACGCCATAACGACGTTGTAATGAGGGTACACCACCCCCTCCCCCCTACTCGTTGTTTCTCGGTACGGAGCATCTCGTTGTCGTCACCACCGGATGAAACGCCCATATTTCGAACGTTAGGCCATTTTGACCGTTGACGACTTGATTAAATAAAAAAATGAATAATGACACAAATGTCTTATGAACTTTTTAGGGTTTACCCGTTGAGTCTCTAAAGTTTTTATTGGACTTTATGAGTCCATAAACTAGGATATGACTTGCTATTTTAGTCTCTATCAGCCTGTAATAGTCGATTCAGTAACCTTTTAAACCAAAAAACTCACATTGTGTCCATATAAAGTCAAAAAAATAAGTTCAGTGATCAATACGAATTGAGTGTGAATCAGCTTTAGAAGAAAATGAGAGTTTTTTTTATACGAATTGATCCTCGAACTTTTTTTTTGGGCTTTATAGGAGCACAATGTGAGTTTTTTTTTTTTTTTTTTTTTTTTTGTCTAAAAGTTCATTGAGCCGACTATTACAGACTGACAGATACTAAAATAGTAGGTCATATCCAAGTTTAAGGACCCATAAAGTCCGACAAAAACTTTAGAGACTCAACATGTAAACCCTAGAAAGTCCGTAGGGCATTTTTAACATCCGGACTTCAGGTATATTATTTGTTATTTATTTATGTATTTATCTCTTGAGCTACTCGACGATTCGGTTCTCCAACTCGTCGAGTAGAGTCGCGATGTGCCACGTAGGTTTAATGACCTACTCGACGAGTCTGAGGAGCTGACTCGCCGAGTAGGCGGTGGGATGAAAAACCCTAAATACCCGGGTTTGGGGCCTATTTAAAGGAACTTATAGCCTTATTTGCGGCTACACTTCCCTAAGAGCGAACCCTAAACGGCCCTTGAGCTTAAAGAGAGAGTGCTTTGCTATTTTTGAATGTTTGGTGCATATTATGAAGAGAAGAGAAGAATTCCAAGCCAAGGGACAAAAAGGTGCTGCTAGATCTTGTTGGATTAGTATCTAAGCCCGTAACTATATTTTGTATGTACTTGACCCGGTTGTGCATGGTCCTTTTGGGTTTGCCTTCACCAAAGCAACTTGACAATGTTATTTAAGAGAGAGGGAGAAGATATTATGATTTATTAATATATTATAATAATAATATATTAAAGGAGAAATCGTATTATTTAATTAATATTGGTCATAAATTATTTAGGAATTAATTTGGTGACTAAAAGAGATTAATTGAATAAAGGGGCATAAACTGTCAAATGTGTGATAATTAAGTTTTGGGCTGTGAAACCTAATGGACTAAGGGGGGGGGGGGGGGGGAATGAAATTATGATGGGGATCCATCATATTTTCATCCAAGGCTTTATTCCAGAAGGTTCCATGGGTTGCTTGGTGACTAAGTTGTCCATTAGGGTTTAGACTGAAACCCTAGCAGCCTATAGTATAAATAAAGGCCCTTGCTTGCAATTTTCGGCCACCTTGACTCCAAGAGAAACCCTAGGCCGATTTTAGCATCCTTCCTCCTCTCTCATAATAGTATGGTGTTTGTGAGCCATTAGAGGAGTTACAATTGTGACTCTAAGCTCAAGATCAAGAAGAATCAAAGGTTTTCAAGCCAATTGAAAGAGGTAATCACTTATATCTGTTCTTATAGTGTTAATTTCAAATTATGGATGCTAGATCTAGGGTTACAAGTCTTGGATGTATTACATGTACAATAGAGAAGCCTAGATCCAAGCTTTAGGGTTTTACATGAGCACATAGGATGTTCTTTTGCTTTAAAACCATCAGTGGTATCAGAGACAGGTTGGTTTCTGTCGTATGTGATGTAATTGTCGAGTTTTTGCTGAAAATCGTTTTTCTGGCCTCTGCCCGACCCAACTCGGCGAGTCAGTATCTGGACTCGGCGAGTTCGGGAGTCAGACAAAGCATATCTCGGGATTTCTCGTTGTTTTGCTATAGGATAAATGCCAAAATCATTTTTTAATAATAAATTTTGAATTTTATTGTATTTAAATGATTATCCTTACCAAAACAAAAGATAATTTCAAATCTTTTGAATAATAGTTTCTTTATATGATAAATATGGATTATTTAAATTATTTGGTAATTATTTGTGACTAAAAATGGATTAGGTCGGATATAGATAATCATAAAATTAATTGTTTAATTTATATTATTTGTTATTTGATCCCTTGTGTTTTGAAAAGTTCAAAACTTGTCCTCAAGTTTTGAAATTTAAATTTTATGATTAAAAGTTTAGATTTGAATGATTTAAATTTCATACCTTTAGAATTTTATAAGTTTAAAATTCAACCCTATACTATTATATTATTACAAGATTAATTAATATATATGTATAACTTAAAATGCTAGTCTTACCGTTAGTAGGCATCATTCACGAAGCCGATCTAAAAAGGGGTATAAGGTTATAGCCTATAAAATGGTCGTTTAATGGGTATCCACTCCTACCCACCGCTTTCTTGATTGGTGGAGGGTCGTTAGCCGAACGGGTAGGATAAGGCAATCCTCTCCTCGTTAAAAGTATAATGAATGATACGAAGTAACTACAATGTTTTTACAAATTCTCAATCTTAGTTACTTTAGGGTAAAATGTGAAAATGATGTTACTCCATGGAATTATACTTTGTACCCTTGTCAAATGTCAGTGGAGCGTGTGTGGTTAACCGGCACACTAATTTGGGATCGACATTGGTAGCGAAGGGTGGCTCGGTGTTTGTCATAGATCAATGGAGCGTGTGTGGTTTACCGACACATTGATTAGGTGATAGAGGCATTGAGTGCACCATGTTGATTCGCTTGGTTATTCACACCTTGTTTGTGATCCTCGGTATCCCAATCACAAACTTGAAGGGCATATCAAGATTTAAACATGTCATTGAAAAGTTTAATGAATCTCAAAAGAATCTAGGAGTTTTCAAATACATTTACAACTTAATTTCCTTTCGTTTTTCATGGTGGAAATTAGTGAATCGTCATTCACTTACCTTCAAATTATTTGCATTTAGATTACGACATCCCTTTTATAAGTTGTGAATAATATTGTTGGATCTAAGCCCTAATTTTTCATTTGGGTGTTTAATTGGGGATTCATTTATAATCAAACTTTGTTCCTTTCTTTTTCAGATGTCTTCTAACAACAACAACAACAACAACAACGCTTCTGGGTCATTCTCGCTGATGAACCTATGTCAAAAGATGACATTTGATGGGTCGAATTTCAACGAGTGGATGAGGTACATTCGCATGATCACTCGCTACAAGGACAAAGAATATGTCCTCAATGAGAAACTTGAAAAGATCATCCCAGATGTTGCTACTCCTGAAAAGTTGGCTGCGTTTGAGGCCTACGAGCGTGATGCTACGAAGGTTCATTGCATCATGTTGGCCACCATGAACCTCGAACTCCATCAGTCCTATGAGGACATGTATCCATATGAAATGCATAAAGATTTGCTGGACAGGTACCACCAAAGCATGAGGCAAGAGCACTATGAGATCATTACTAACATGATCACCACTAAGATGGGGAGTGGAGAATCCATAACCTCTGCATTCATTTGCAGAAAATGCAGAGGTATGTTGATCGTCTTCTCAAACTTAATGTTAAGTTTGATGAGAATTTGGCTATCGACATCATCCTCCACTCCTTGCCTTCCTGCTACAACCAGTTCATAATGACCTACCACATGAATAAGGAAGAGGTCTCCTTGAATAAACTTCAAGGACTGCTGAAAGCAACATCAAGGACAAATATGTTGCATCAACCCCTACTGTGGCTGCTTCTGTGTTGGCAATTGGTCAACGGAAGGGAAAGAAGAGGAAGGCTCCTTCAAAGAGTCACCAAAAGGGAAAGTCCCGTGATGGTTCATCCTTTAGTGAGACCAAAGCAGGTCCTGCGAAACCCTCCTCTGACCCTAAGGAAGCAGAGTGTTTCTATTACCACGAGAAGGGCCACTGGAAACGAAGTTGCCCTAAATATCTGCAGGGCATTAAGGATGCGAAGATAAAGCCCACCTTCGCAGGTATGTAT